GGCCATGTTTTCCATGCGGGGAAAGGCGCATAACTGTTGCGGTCTGTGTACCAATGGCAGGAGTAGGCGGCGTTGGGAGACCATCGTCCGGGGGAACGTAGTTCCGCGCGTTCTTGTCTTCGCGTTGGCCTTTCTAATAAGTGCGGCCGTTGTGATCCGCTGTGATAGCGACGGGTTTTTTTGTGGTGGTAGGGTTTTTCCCTGGGGGGTTTTGCCCGGACGCCGGGTTTCCCCTCCATATATTACCATGTTGGTATTTTCTGATGTATCCTGGGGCGTTCTTGCCCAATTGATGGTTAGTCACTTGCGTGAAGAACCAGGGAGGGTGTTCGTGGGTCTGCGAACATTGCTGTTGGATACATGTGCTGGATGATTTTGTGTCACGCAGACTGGTAAGAAAACTGTTTGATAGGGGGCACCGCGATGATTCACGGGGGCCCTCCTTGCTGTGGGAGCCGCTCTTTGAGTACTCCCTCTTTCGTCCGTGTGAAGGACGGTCGTCGACCTCTCGTGAAGTTAATACATCACCAAAACAGTCTCACCCGATAAATACGTGGCGTAGGCCGCAAACAGTCTGCTTCCGCGCACAAGGATGAGATGGGCATTGCTGCCTACACCGACGGCCTGGAGGCCCGCGCATCTGCACCTTTGTACCTGACGCACCAGTGCCGACCCAACTCCACCACTGCGCACGCCTCGCGGCGGGTGCGCCGCATCAAGTAGGTATCGGTCCCTTGAGGGTGAGTCTAGCCCTGCTCGCTAGACAGACCCCCCCCCTCGCTATGGGTCATGCCTACGCAAAACCTTGCCGAGGCAGCGAGGGGAAGAAAGAAGGGAATGGTCAAAAGGGTTGTTCGAAACGCAATGATCCCTAGGTACAGCTTACGATACCTGCCCACAGCGAGAAACAGTTATTCTACGTACGACTAAGGGGCCATATGAACTGGTTCCATTGTATTGGGATCTGTGCCTATAGATTACGCAGTGAAGAAAAGGGGGGAACTTGTCGTGCAAGGGTCGACGAAGACCCTTCCCCAAAAACCTCCACGCCCCAAAAAAGTGAGATCCACCCCAGTCTTGCCTAAAACCTTGCAAGACCACAAACCGTTCACCCTACCCCCCCGCATCAGGCGAAACTCCTTGAAAATAAACTTGCTATTGCTCAGGGAAGAGTGTGTTTGCTCGAAAGCAATGGTGTAGATTCTCTAGTCAATACGTGGAAGCTCAAAACAAGTCAAAGCCAGAAAACGAATATTGGACTTCACAGGTATCTAAGAAAATGTCCGTACAACACAGCTGACTCTTCAGCGTGCTGACTCCTCCTCACACCCACCCACGATACACCACATGACTTCGTGTGCGCGCCTCTCACCCAGTGGCAGCCTGCCTTTCACGTGAGTACCCACCATGTGCACGAGGCAGCCCGGCAGACGCACGACGAACCTTGCGGTACCGCCGTGCCTTGTTGGAGATCTCGATAGCCAAAGAGCGAGCAAGCAGGTCCGATCTACTTAAGGGTTACGGGTCAAGGACTTCCCGCTACGGAAGCGGGGTGACGCAGCCGACAGAGAACGTCGCTCCTCCCGCAATGACCACGCTTGCACAGCGGCCTCAACCAGCACGAACAGTATCATGCACACATGGACCGCCACAAGGACACTCTCAAACACCTCCTGACTGCTGGCCCGTTCGTCGGACACGTCCACTTTCAGGAGGAGGGCGACGTACATGCTCAAGAATACGACAATGTGCCCAACTCTGCTGATCCAGGTGTCCCACCGGGATGCGTACGGAGCGAGTCCTTCGGAGAGCAGGGCGAAAGCGAAAGCGATCAAAAGGGTCACCGCGATTTGCGCCGCCGTGTTAGGATAGATGAACACTACCACGCCGGCAAGCAGAACCCGCCGGAAGCACTCGATCACCTCGTAGTAGAACACCGCCGGCTTGTACGGTTCCCACAGATTGGAGATCGATTTGACGCGGGGAGGTTCTTCTCGGTCGGGGTCTTCGTCCTTCAACACGTCGCGACTCTTGAACAGGAGCTCGGCGTAGAGGGCAGGAATGCCCACGGTGTAGATCACAATCATGAAGCCCGCGTACACCTGGATCCCCCTGTGCTCAGAGGAATTGCACTCTATGCTATAGTCTGCACGGAGGTAGTCTTTGCTGTAGTCCAGGTCGTCGCATGCGAAAGCCCTGAAGAGGGTGGAACTGACGCTCGAGTACACAAAGAAAGTTAGCAGGAGCACCACAGTCACGTGCTTGTTCCAGATGATGTTGAGTTTCTCGGGTTCTCCGCGATTTATTCGTGCGGCCGCAGCGTAGGTGCACGCCAGGAGCAACAGGGCCACGATGGGGCTGATCGTGGAGACCAGGAGGCGGCCGTGAAAGTTCATGTCGACTACGCACCCTGCCGAGAGAAGCCAGCTGAGGTCGAAGTTGAACACGTCCAGAACGTCCAACAGGTCTTGATACACGTCTGGGTAGGTGACGTTCGCCACAGAAGTGAACTGTTTCACAAGGTCAAGGGGGGATTGTAGGCGAGGACATGCGGATGAATACACACCGTTGGCGGGTCTTGTTGTCTGTGATGTCTATATAGAGTCAGCGGAGCCCCAGATCCCAGATGGGTGCAGCTCGCCCGGGTTATTTAGACTACCTGACGGCTAAACATATGCCGATGGTGGTAGATGGACAGGTTTTTCATGGGTCGTGTGGAATGAGTCGACCGAGGTACAATTGATTCAGTGCTTTCGTAGGCTGTCCACCGACCACTAGTGATCGGTAGTACGTGAACATTTCAGCTGGCGCGAAGAGCATCCGTCGGCTAAAGACCTGGGCATCCAGTAACAGAATGAGGTAAGACAAGGGGGTTGGCGCTGGATCGTTTTCTTGTACATGTGTTGGGGGTGTACTCATACTCATAGTCGTGCATGCCGTAGTCGTTAGACCATTGACCTCGCATCCCTACAAAGCCGGGACGAAGCACAACGGGTTCTCACCGGACCAGGCTCTCACATCACCAAGCGCGAAGCGCTGTGAGATATTTGGCGAGTCGCATGGAGGGTGCGCTGCATCCTGCTAAGGGTGTTCGGCATCTTGTGCTTACTTCCTTGCGTAGGAATGACAGCTGCGTATGACTTAATTTATTTTCTGGTGCTTTCACTTCCAGAGACAGTTGTCAGCACTGTGTAACTGCCTCGAGGGTGCTTGACCATTTCAACACAACGTGGTGCGATCATCCCCCTTGCGCGGAGTGCGGGTTCTCCACCCCGCACAACATGATCTACTCGTCCACCATTCATTGTGGTTCCCGCCAAAAAGAGCAGAGGTAAAACCCCCCCGGTAACCTGGTTGCCGAGTTAACGAAGTGAGTTGGCTTGTGTTACAACGTCGTTGCCAAGCGACGGAAACGCAATTCCGATGGCAAACACCGAGGGGGAGGCTTGTTTTACAACGTCGTTGCCAAGCGACGAAAACCCAACCCCGATGGAAAATACATGTGTTGGGGGGTAAAAATTTAAGGTGCGATGTGTGCCGTCGTATACGCTGGGTACCCACCCGCTCGGCGTGCGAAAAGTGTTTTCATGGAGTCATCCGTTTTTCGCCATGCTAACCGCTGAGTCCAACGCCGTGTTATGACACAGCATTGATTGATACGACAACCCGCGAAAACGGAACGGCTCGCAGAAGTCCCAACACGCGACAAATACCCATCATATCACCTGTGTGAGGATCTGCCACGAAACGATCACGATCTTCAAGGATTGAAGTGGTATGTATCGCGTCACGAGCTCCACAATTCCTCCCTTACGACCCATGCCGACCTCCCCCGAAGTCACGTACGAGACGACGGCGACGGCTAAGAAGACGATGAGGAGAGCAAGAACAACTGCGACGGCGATACCACCAGCGCTGTTTTCGGAGCACTTGCTGCAAGCGAAGCTCAGTTGTTCCGTATACCCATCGCTGCAGATACCGCAATCTGTGAGCGATCCGGAAACGGCAACAAAAGAATGTGGGGCATTCAGGATCACGAGCAAGATGACAAGAGGTTTACGAACGTAGCTGCGAGCTTAAAGGGAGTAAATAAGGGTTGGTTCACCCGTGGTTTGGTCATTCCATCTCGGGGAAGTGGCCGGTATGGTGACCAGACAAACTGGGCAGGCACTGGCTGATCCTCCCCGCGGCGAGAACCTTCTCTAGACTAATAATACCGGCAATCATACCTTGAGGGCGGGTTGTTAGATCATCAGGCTGAGTGTTCACCCATACGTTGCAGTTTTCCGATGAAGTGTGGCGATGGGAAACAGCTCCCTGCTCTGTGCAATTTCCTCAGCAGTTGACAACGTGTTCTACACCAAACTTTAGCATCTAAACAAGTAAATGCTCCAAGATCTACGTCGGCGTGGCACGGGCACGTATCAAGCTGTGTCCGAATTACACACACGACACGATGAGCTCTCAAGGCGACCTACTTTCAAGACCCATGAACACCATACATACAGCAGTAGCGATCGGTTAGCACAACATCACGCACATGGTCCTTCGTAGCCCTCCTCGCAATATCCGGATGCCCCCGTCACTCCACCAAGACAAGCGTCGGCGTGGTAGCACGCGAGAACCTCCGTGCTGGACGTGCTGGCTCGCCAGAATCCCCTGTCGATCGAAAGCGTCTGCAAGGTGACGTTGCCACCATCGCTGGTGGAGTGGTCCATCACCTCTGTGCAGATCGGAGCCAGCGACCCTTCGGCGAAGACACATCCGTCGCAAGTAGTCTCGCATCCGTTGCAGATGGCCTCGAAGTGATCGACAGACTGACACGCGCCGCACACAGTCAAAAGAGTCGAGGCTTACACGGGTTATAGCTTGCGAGGCCGCATTCACATCAAAGCGGAGTTCTTTGGTGCATCTCAGTGTTAAGAGAGCGACCACAACGTCAGTGATGATACTGCGTCAGACCGTGGGGTGGATCACCAACTCCGGTAGGGCACGAAAGTGCACGGTTCGTACGTTTTCGTACAGTAGACCCCGACTCTCATTGCAAGACTTGACGGTATTTTTGCACGTATGAACTAATTATTTGTAGATAGACTCCATTCGGTAGGAAATGCGACTGGCTGACAGCTTGGGTTGCCATGTTGCCGTTGCAGCTGTAAACCAGGAATGTTCCTCAGCGGGAACTATGTACCCATTGCGGACACCTGCTGTGCTGGCGGTACACAGCGCACAAAGCAGTACACTGCTGTAACCAAACAATCCCGCCGCGGGAAAATGTTCCTTTTCGGTGAAAGGGTTACCCGCACGAGTTCAAATACTGGCAGGATCACTTTCTTCGCAAAAAGTGCACCTAGAACCATCAGCGTTTGGCGAGGGGTCCGAACCCGGAGATCCCTGCTCTCAATCCCAGTGATTAAGCCATAAAACCCAAGTGCTCCTGCCGGGTGCTAATGCGCTCTGAGCATATCTTTTATTAGGCAAAGTTACACCATTAGACTAGTCAATTGCTGTAACTTTACCTAATAGGGGGAACTACAGTAGTCTACAACAACAGTACACAGCAGTCCGCCGCGTTTGGTGGTGCTGCTGCTTCTGTGGTACAGCGTAGTAGTCTATACCTACTTGGAAGCTTAGTTCCGTAGTCCCGTACGCTTGACAGAGCTCACTCTCCTCTCATGCTCTTATAGATTATTCTCTCTACCAGCGTGTCCTCTCTAACAGCACACCCTCCGCCAAGTCTTTGTTGTCGTATCATACGCAGTCGAATGTGGTAACCCAGCACACAACTATTGCAGGTCTTGTGAGCCTTTCCAACCACGTGCGGAGAATAGATACTACTGCGCGAACACACACGCACGAATTCACGGATTGAGGTGCTGAGTGACTCTCTACGGCCAGCAACTGGTGTGCTCTTGTAGAAAAAGCAAGAGATGGAGGAGCGGAATGTCGAAGAAACAAATCGACAGCAGGCGGTGTGTTTCGTTGTCTACAAAATAGTCTAGTCTACCTGGTATTGATTACTCTGGGCGCCGTAGTGGGTAACCAGCAACGAATGGGCTGCTGCGCATTCGAATCTCTCCGGAGTACGAAACTTGCAACGAGTGAGCGCATGGCATACGAGGTACACACAATAAAGAGGGAAGGGATGCTGAACCCAGCTAAATAAATAGGTTGTTGGTCCACTCCACCCGTAGTGAAGAAAGTCGCAATAGTGCTAAGTGAAAAGCGTATAAATAGTCGAGAGTTAACTCAGTCATTTGTTGTGCGACGTGCTCGTATCGAAAACACCCTGGGCAACAACGGTATTTACGTACAGTAACTACAAGGCTTGGGTGACAAGATACGCGTCTAAAGAACACAGATAGATATCAACCTGGTAGAGCGACAAAATTCTCACCCCTGTGACGTTCCGAAAAGTTCCCGCTGGGCAGTCGAAACCATTGCCGTCAAAAGAGGCGTTTGTGATGCTGGAAATGAAGCCGATATTTGACACGGCTGCCCCTTCTCCTTCGTCCGACGTGTTTTCCCGGAAAGAACAGTTGGAAATATATGCTTCGCCTGCTAGTCTCAGAGCTCCTCCCGTTCCCGCCGAGTTGCCTTCGAATACGCTGTTTTCAATGGCGTCTTCTCCAGCCGCGCTGTTGATGGCTCCTCCCGTTGATATTGCCTGGTTACCGATGAACTGGCACGTATCAAATGTCGTGGGAAGGTCTCCGCTCTCGTCAGTACCAGACCCAAATATGGAGATACCACCCCCGATCTCAGCCGAGTTGGAGACGAAACTGACGGAGTTGAACCTCGGCCCAATGCTGACACTTGACACAAACATGGCCCCTCCGGCGACTCCGGCAGAATTTCCCAAAAAGCTGACATCCACCGTGCCGATGTTCAAAGCGACATCGACGAACAGAGCCATGCCACCCCCGTTTCCTCCCGCTGAGTTGTCGGAGAAGATTGTGGTTCCGTTAATGAAGAGTATCGAGTTTGACGTAGATAGCGCATTTGTTGCCACCGCGCCTCCGTCTCCAAGCACTGCTTTGTTCGACACAAAGTTGGTGTCTCCAGTCCAGCTCACATTAGCGCCGTTTCTGATCAGAAGAGCCCCTCCCCTAGATTCAGCGCTGTTGCCAATAAACTCGGTGGCTCCGCTCCAGGAGACGGTTGAGTTATCAACCATCACGGTACCATCGAGCGAAGCACTGTTGTCGGCGAAGATCGTCGTTCCTCCGCTCCAGGACCCGCTAGAGCCATAGGTCACAACAACAGCACTGCCCGACGGCCCCACATTTCCGGTGAACTCCGTGTCTCCACTCCAAGAGATCATCGCCCCAGAGACCTCAACGGCGCCTCCTGTACTGACAGCGGAATTGTTCAGGAAAATCGTTGCCCCTTCGCTCCAAAACACTCTAGAAGAGCCAGATGCATACAGCGCTCCACCAAGCACAGCGCGATTGTGTGCAAATGTCGTGTTTCCGCTCCACTCAACTGTGGAGGAAACGGAGAATTCCATCCCGCCACCCCCGAACCCTCCGGCCGAATTATTAAACACTTCAGTGTGCCCGCTCCATACGACCGTTGCGTTGACAGCTCCCACAGCGCCCCCCGCCTGCATGGCCGAGTTGTCTAGCAGCAGCGTATTTCCACTCCACGCTGCACTCGATTCACTCACGTAGAGTGCACCGCCGTCCTCGGTGGCATAATTTCTCAAAAATGATGCATCTCCACTCCATTGGAGCCCCGAGAAGAAAAGTGCCACCGCCCCACCGACGGCACCTGAATTTTCCACAAGCGCGGTTTCCCCAGCCCATGAAATCTGACTTGTAAGAGAGAAGATGGCGCCACCGAACTGGACGGCCGAATTATTAGACATCAGCATCTCTCCACTCAACGAAACAGCAGACCCCGACACGGCAAAAGCACCACCATGACCCGTGTCACCTGCAAGTCCTACAGCGCGGTTGCTGTCGAAGGAAGAGTTGCCCTCGAAGGAAATGCCCGAGTCTTCACTTACGATTGCTCCCCCATGTCCTGCCGAATTGCCTGAAAACGTGCTTATCGCCTCATCTCCAGTACACGATGCCTCCGATCCATTGGCAACCCACACGGCTCCACCGATCACCTCAGCGGCGTTGTTCTTGAAAGTCGTGACCCCGCTCCAAGACGCGCTACTGCTCGCGTAAACCACCAGAGCTCCACCTATACCGGAGGTCGTTGATGTGGCATAATTGGACTCGAAAGTTGTTTCGCCGGTCCAAGATGCTGTCGACCCGTTCACGATAGCTAAAGCGCCACCCAAGGACCCAACGGTGTTGGAAAGGAACCGCGTAGACGCGTTCCACGATACACTCGCGCCGCTCCTAGCATACACGGCACCACCCCAAGTTTCTGCAAGGTTGAAGCCAAAAATGGCGTCTTCGCTCCACGACAAGCTGGACTCGCCGTCCACAATGATCGCGCCAGCGCTGTCGCCGGCCACGTTGCCGAACCACGACCCGCCGCATGAAACCACCGAACCGCCAGTCACGTAGAGGGCGCCACCGTCGACAGACGCATCGTTCTCGGTAAATGATCCTCCGCCGGAACATACCATACTGGAGCCGTCTGATAGGTAAATGGCACCGCCGTTGCCGGTGGCGGTGTTCCTGAGAAAATTGGTTTGGTTGAGGGTCAAGGTAGCGCCTGCCGCAGCGATCGCCCCGCCAGTGGTGCTCGCACCAGAGGTGACGTCCACACCGGTCAAGTGCAGGGTGGCGTTGACAACGGTAAAGAGTCGGGTCGCTGCGTTACCGTCGATGGCGGCGCTCGAGCCGTCGCCCGTAATACTGAGAGTCGTGCCGTCCACGACGTAAAACACGCTTTCTACGACCACGGTGCCTCTCCACTCAACCTCGAACGACCCTCCCGAACAGTTGACGGCTGAGGCCAGAGCCTGTGCCTGCGCCGAATCATCCACCACCCAGGTCTGCTGAACCTCCGCTGAGCAGGGCAAGGCGGTGGGCGGCGCGGCCTCACACTCGTAAAACTCGTCATCGGCATCGGGGTCCAAGCAGTCGAACGTAACACTCTGACAGAGCGCGCCGCTGCAGGTACAGTAACAGCACTGCGCGAAGCATCATTGATATACGTAGGCCCCAAACAAGACACGACAGCGGAGGAAGGGGCAAAGGAGGAGACCGATGACCTTCGAGGTGATCGATCTGATTGGAACCGTGTTTCAGTAGAGGGTGAAGACAGAGTGCCCCGTGACATGGTACCCCGCATTATTGACCACGAATTGATGCCAGCAATAGCAGTTGGCAGCACCAGTATATTTCTGACGGTCTTTATAAGACGCCATTGTCGATCAATGGCGAATCGAAGCGAAGGAAAAACGGCGAGATCCATGGGACCCAGCATTAGCGAACCAACAGCGATGAGCAAGCAACTAAACTCACATCGCCCCCGTCGTAACTGCAGAAAACGTTGTTATTGCCTTCCTCGCACAGGCCGTTCCCGATGTCGGCGACGGCACAGCTGTCAGATTGAGCAGCACCTTGACGTAGGCAACACAGCGTGAAGAGAACAGCGGTAAGCCTGGCTGCGCCGCGGCATGGGGCCGTCATTTCTTGTTCCTCGTTTGTGGGGGCCGCAACCGCTGTCCTCGTCCACCGTCCGCTCTTTTTGCTGCATTTGGCCAGAATGTGCAACAGGGAAAGGGAGAAATGTGACCAACTCATTTGCGGCAGTGAGTGGATGTACAATATGTGGATAGTACGTGTATTTCTCACACTCCATTGCGTGGAGTTGTGGAACGCCGGCGATCCCATACACGAGGTAAGTACGATCAAGCGTACGGGCAGCTCATACGTGGACGGGGCGGACATAGGCATAGCACCAACGCGACCGGCTCGTCTACGCTGCTCCGCTGCAATAGCGGGGCGCCGGAGCGGTCGGCCCGACGGCAATCCGCCTCCCTTTTCACAGAAACAGCACGTGGTTTAATCTAGCGTTACTGACTCAAGTGACTAGAGCTTCCACGGCCATTGAGACGTTCAAACACGAAGAAATCACTCGGCTACCTAACAATGACGTGTTACACCTTGTTCATTCCACATACTTGTGACTACCAGCCCGGCACCCTTGCCCTCTGAACAGTTTTTGCGTGTGAAAATGGAGTGATCGGACTATCTATGTAAAAGAAAGCTAAAGGAGGAGGGAAGCAGGTGGAATCGTGACATCTTGCTCAATTTGTGCATCATCCCTGCAAGTTATTGAGAACCTACGGACGAGTGCTGCTGTCATACATACAAGGGGTTTGGCGGATTTCGCCGCCCCGCTCAATAGATCGATTCCAAGATAAGCGATAAGTGGTACTCAACATTCGTGCCAGAAAAAATATAGCACGATTGAAAATGAGAACATATCAACTGACTGAGTAGATATCCGTATGCGTTGCAGCAACAAGCTGTAGCACGGCACACAGAGTTCAAATGCCATGCGGAGCGCGGAGCTGATCGCTCAGCCAAACATATTTGGACTGCTGCGGTGTGCCAAACGTACGTCGTGAGCTACACAACTGCAATGAGATGAGCGGCCCCAGCGAGAGAAAAAGGACTGAGCAGCAAACCGACCAATTCATCCGGCGTCTACTCGCTTGGTTCATTGTGTATCATCAACTGACTGAGTAGATATCCGTATGCGTTGCAGGAGCAAGCTGTAGCACGGCACACAGAATTCAAATGCCATGCGGAGCGCGGAGCTGATCGCTCGGCCAAACATATTTGGACTGCTGGTTTTTTTTTTTTCTCCCATCATTGGACTCTGTCGTCTGCCCCTCTGGCCCCTATCCTCCACTTCTGCAAGCTAGACGACCCAAACGGGGTCACATAGGAGGGGGGGGCTGGACCCCCTCCTGCGGTTCATGCCTGAGGTATTTTTATCGCGAGAAGGGTACAGCAATCCCTTCCCTCGCGACTTACTACGAAGAAGTCGATAATGGTTTACTAACAAACGAGCTTTGCAGCGCGTCGCCTTCATCCTAGGCCAGGTTGTATTTGGTAAGAAAAATACTCACTCTGCCGGGACTCACACCCATGACCTGGCCCTTAGCAGGCTGCGAGGTTACTCACTAGACCACCGGAGCGACCGGTGCTGGGTGTGGTGTGCCAAATGTACGCCGGGAGCCACACAACTGCGATGAGATGAGCGGCCCCAGCGAGAGAAAAAGGATTGAGCAACAAACCGACCAAATCGTTCGAGCTACTGCTGTTCTGCTATGCAGGCGTCATCAGCAGCTTATAGTTTACGCTAATTAATGGGCGAGAGAGATCACGTAGTGTGCAGAGAGTCAGAAAATAGGTGTCGCTCATCAAGTCATGTGATAAAATGTAAAAACAAATAAATGTGTCGGCCAATCCCGCTGTATTGTACATAGACGAATAGTGAGCGGGCTTGCCGAGAGCCGACCGAACCTTTACCCGCGCCCAATGGATTGAGGCGTCCGCTACCTGGTTCGTCCCGTTTCCGTGAAGCAGGCGAGACAGAACCACCAGTCAGTGAAGTGTAATGTCAGACCCGAGGCGGAACGATGAACGAACGGAAAATATCAGAAAGCGGATGAGATGAGACATGGAAATAAATGAAGAATATGCATACGCCATATGACAACCGAGACACAGATAGGCTGGTGTGTAAAAGGGAAGAGAGAGACTGGCATGCAATGTCATGTGAGTATCGATCAATGGAGAGAGCAGATCAAAAGGGCGAAAGGTTCCGCGAGCGAGCGATGCAGAGTGAGGAGACATGCTACATGAACGGGGAGCGGAGAAGAAATGACAACAAAACGAAGGCCACGGAATGTTCCAAGCAGTGCAACGCCGATATCCCGACATGGGAGCACCGAGAGACAAACTGGTGGAGTTTGAGAGCAGAGAGAGAGGGGGGGGGGAGAGTGCACAGAATGCGATGCGTCGTGGATGGGGAGCAGAGGAAAGTGACGACCGGAACCAACCGCGAGCGACCGAGCAAGACGCGACCGAGCCAGACGCAGAGCTAGAAGTAAATAATATGCATATACAGTGGGGGCCCCGGTTTAGCGACCCCTACAAGTAGTGTCACGACGAAATATGGTCGCTATTCAGGGCATGTCGCTAAACCGGGACCCTCAATAGCATCTAGCGGTCGCTTAACCGGGAAATAGGACCATTTCGTGGGCCATTTCGTGGGACTAATGAGGCCTTGTTGCAGAAATATTCTTGATCGGGTTATGTATGCATCGTATTGCCGCAGTCACATGAAGATAGAGGAAAGAAGAAGCACCTTAGGGTGGACAACCGGTGAGTAGTTCCTCTACGGTTTTCATTCTAGTCAACCAGCATGCTTGTTGTACCCTCCGAAGTTTGTAGGGAATGTCTCAACAATAAGTGTACAGAGGATGCCCTTTGTCTTTTATGTTCGCGCATGCAGAATAATCTGCCCCTACATATGCAATGATCAACACACAAACACACACATAGTCTAGTCTAGTAGTCCGATCTGCGAAATTTGAAAAAAAAAAAGACGGAGGGGGGAAAACGCTGCTATGGCAACGTCCCCCAAAACACAATAATAAAACACCCCTGCATGGCACGGAGAGAGTTCGTGAACGCCCAAGTGGCAAAGAACCTCGCGCTGCTACAGTAGTGACTTCATTCTGCTTCTGTCGCGTGTTACCGATTATGTTTGACTCAACATGTCTCTGATGTCCATCTGTCGCGCTGGTTTCGCGGAGTGTGCTTCGATCAACAGCATGTTTGCCTTGCCAAGATGGTACGCTGCCTCGCTTAGTCCACGACTCCTCACACTCTTGAAGCGATGCAAAATGCTACGATAGCTCCGAGTAGGGTGGCGGCGCCATCACTTCCCCACCTCCCGCACCGCCAACTTCTCCAGCCCCATACCTCTATTTCTTTTTTTCGTTTAGTGGATTCGAGACGGGTGGGGAAGCCTGCATGTTCATAGATGCACACTCGTGGCAGGTGCGGTGCATCTCGATGCCATCGAGAACCTCCACCTCCCCACACATCAGGGGCAGGCGTACATCGCAGCCACCATGGCAGGCGTGCCCCTGGGGTGCCCGCAGTTCCACATCCGGCTGTTTGCGCAACTCTCCATCGGCGCACGGCATGTTGCGTGTGTGTACGTGTCCCGCGGTCTTGTGTCTCTGTATGTGGAGGAACGCGGGGTCTCCGCAATATTTGAACCCGTGGTCGCTATCGCCCGCTGAAAACAGCCCAATAAGTCGCTGTTGAGGGTTCGACCGGTTTAGCGACCATATGGTCGCTAAAGCGAGTGCAGCGGTATCACGAGATTTTGGGGTCGCTAAACAGGGCCTGTCGCTAAACAGGGGGTCGCTATACCCGGGGCCCCACTGTACTCAAGGGTCTGTGCTGCGGGAAAAAAATCCGGACATATAGGCCCCACCCCCTCACCCCCGGAGGGAGGAAAAATTCGAAAATTTTTACCACCAATCGTCAAAAAGTTACCATAAGGATTAGATGGATTGCAAACATGCCTCGCTCTCGTTACTCCTTCCGCGTCTGCTCTTCAGAGGCCAGCCCACGCTCAGCCGCGCTATAGGAACACACGTACGGCAGCGCCCCATTCCTACAAAAGTACAGTACATTCGGCCAAAGCTCGAAATGAGCGAAGCAGCTCACTTGACCATCCAACACAACCACCTGCCTTGCAATCTCGCCTTTGCCGCTTCTAGAACTGCACAACAGGGAACATAGCCTCGCAAATCTACTCTTAGCCATGGTCTTGTGTAGGGTCACGTTTGACTTGATCTCACCCTAACCCTCACCCTAACCCTCACCCTAACCCTAACCTAACGCCGAAAACGCCGACGCCTCCAGCGAAAACCCGGGGATACGTGGGTGGGTGTATGTCCCCGGCCCCGCTCCCCAATCCCCCCCCCCCCCCCNCCAAATGATCTCGAATTTCGATTACTTGGTAGGCCTGTGTCGATTTTTTTTTCGCACAGACCCTTGATATACTGTATGTACACACATACGTAGAGATTGAGCGGAATAATCAAGAAGCGCCCGAAAGATATCTGGGAGATGGAAATGCGGCTCTCTCTGTAATTTGTCGAGAGCGCCGAAATGGAGCTCTCTCAGCGCCATTTTCTGCTTCAATTTTGAGTGACAAAATGACAATAGTCTGTGTAGTCTAAAGAGTTGCGGTAGGTGGAACAAAACACTCAGCATCGACTAATTGCGAACTCTGATGTGCCGGGGTTCGTTTCCGCCGAGCAATAGGGTTCTTGGCTCATGCGCGCAGAGGCGTGTGATGCTTCTACGGGGTTTGAGTTTCACTCAAAATTGATTGAGGATGATGTGTGTATGGTTGTCGTGTGGTTTGCATCAACGCGTTCTTGGCACAGATAACCAAGCAATGAAGGGCAAAATGTAGACTACACTTTTCTATACAAACACGAGGTCGAAAAGGTTTCAGTGCACTACTTACAGTACACTGCATGCGGTCAACGTAACCAAGAGAACAGGAGTACAGAAGTACAGGAGTGAGTACAGTCTACGGCAACCTATGGAGGAAAATATAGGGGAAAACGTCACAACAGGGTATATCCCCTGGTCGAAAAGCCACACACCTGGGTATACACAGTCATTGACATCAGTAAATGCACTCATATCATTGGTTAGCGCCCAATTTCACCCCGCTGCGTCCGACAAGGCGC